ACAAAGAGGGTCATTATATAATGGTGAAAGGCACAATTCAACAAGAAGAGATAACAATTTTAAATATATATGCACCCAACTTAGGTGCACCCAGATTCATAAAGCATACCTTACTGTAGCTAAGCAAGTGGATTAATAGCAGCTCCATAATCACTGGAGATTTCAACACCCCACTGACGGCACGAGACAGATCCTCCAAACAGAAAATTAATAAAGAAATAATGGACTTAAACAAAACTCTAGAACAATTGGGTCTGACTGACATTTACAGAACATTCTACCCAAAATCCACTGAATATATGTTCTCATCAGCACACGGGACATTCTCTAAGATTGACCATATCCTAGGACACAAAGTAAATCTCAGGAAATTGAAAAAAATAGAAATCATACCATGTATCTTCTCAGATCACAGTGGAATAAAAGTAGAAATCAACTGTAACAGAAACTCACATTTCTACGCAAAAACGTGGAAATTAAACAACCTCCTACTAAATGATTATTTCGTAAATGAAGAAATCAAGATGGAAATAAAAAATTTTATGAAGAAAATGACAATGGAGAGACAAGTTATCAAATCCTCTGGGACACAGCTAAAGCAGTTCTGAGAGGAAAGTTTATCTCCATAAATGCCCATAACCAAAAGTCAAAAAGATCACAAATAGACAATCTAATGAAACAACTTAAAGAGCTGGGAAAAGAACAGACCAACCCCAAACCCAGCAGAAGAAGTGAAATCAACAAGATCAAATCAGAACTAAACGAAATTAAAAACAGGGAAGCTATTCAGGAGATTAACAAAACAAAAAGTTGGTTCTTTGAAAAAATGAACAAAATTGACACGCCACTGGCTAAGCTAACGAAAACCAGAGAAGAGAAATCTCTAATAAGCTCCATCAGAAACAAAAGAGGAGATATCACAACTGATCCCAAAGAGATACAAGATATAATTTATGAGTACTACAAAAATCTTTATTCACACAAATTGGAAAATGTGGAGGAAATGGACAAATTTCTAGAAACATACAGCCTCCCTAGGCTCAATCAGGAAGAAATAGATTCCCTGAACAGACCAATCTCAAGAGCTCAAATAGAAATAGCAATTAAAAATCTCCCTAAAAAGAAAAGTCCTGGTCCAGATGGCTTCACACCTGAATTTTACCACACTTACAAAGAAGAACTACTACCTATCTTGCAGAAACTATTCCACAACATCGAGAACACCGGAAACCTCCCCGAACACGTTTTATGAAGCGAATATTACTCTGATACCAAAACCAGGAAAGGATGCAACAAAAAAAGGAAGCTACAGACCAATATCCCTAATGAATATAGATGCAAAAATTTTCAAGAAAATCCTAGCTAACAAAATCCAGACGCTTATCAAAAAATAATCCACCAGGACCAAGTGGGCTTCATCCCAGGGATGGAGGGCTGGTTCAACATACGTAAATCTATAAATGCAATTCACCACATAAACAGAAGCAAAAACAAAGACCACATGATTCTTTCAATAGATGCAGAAAAAGCTTTTGACAAAATTCAACACCCTTTCATGATACGAACACTTAAGGAAATAGGCATAGAAGGGACATACCTAAAAATGATACAAGCCATATATGACAGACCCATAGCCAACATCATACTGAATGGGGAAAAACTGAAAGCATTCCTACTTAGAACTGGAACCAGACAAGGCTGCCCCCTATCTCCACTTCTCTTCAACATAGTGCTGGAAGTCCTGGCTACAGCAATAAGACAGGACAGTGGAATTAAAGGTATCCAAATAGGGCAGAAGAGATCAAACTTTCACTGTTTGCTGATGATATGATATTATATTTAGAAAACCCCAAAGATTCAACCAAGAAACTCCTGGAACTGATCAATGAATTTAGTAAAGTCTCAGGATACAAAATCAATACACAGAAATCAGAGGCATTCGTATACACCAACAACAATCAAATTGAGAACCAAATTAAAGACTCAATACCCTTCACAATAGCAACAAAGAAATTAAAATACTTAGGAGTATACTTAACCAAGGAGGTAAAAGACCTCTACAGGGAGAACTATGAAACACTGAGGAAGGAAATAGCAGGGGATGTAAACAGATGGAAATCCATTCCATGCTCGTGGATCGGCAGACTCAACATCATTAAAATGTCTATACTACCCAAACTGATCTACAGATTCAATGCAATACCTATTAAAATCCCATCAGCATTCTTCACAGATATAGAAAAAATAATTTTACGCTTTGTATGGAACCAAAGAAGACCCCGAATATCAAGAGCAATTCTAGGCAACAAAAACAAAATGGGAGGTATTAATATGTCAGATACCAAACTATACTACAAAGCTGTAGTAATTAAAACAATCTGGTATTGGCACAAAAATAGAAATATTGACCAGTGGAACAGATCTGTGAATCCTGATATAAAACCATCCTCATATAGCCATCTAATCTTTGACAAACAACAAAACATACACTGGGGAAAAGAGTTCCTTTTCGATAAATGGTGCTGGGAAAACTGGATGGCCACTTGTAGAAGGCTAAAGCAGGACCCACACCTTTCACCTCTCACAAAAATCAAGTCACACTGGATGACAGACTTAAACCTAAGGTATGAAATTACAAGAATTCTAGAGGAAAATGTTGGAAACACTCTCCTAAACATCGTGCTAAGCAAAGAGTTTATGAAGAAGTCCCCAAAGGCAATCAAAGCAGCAACAAAAACAAATAAATGGGACATGATCAAACTACAAAGCTTCTGCACAGCCAAAGAAATAGTCATGAAAGTAAACAGACAACCTACAGAATATTAGAAAATTTTTGCATCCTACGTATCCGATAAAGGGCTGATAACTAGAATATACTTAGAACTCACGAAAATCAGGAAGAAAAATCAAATAACCCTATTAAAAGTGGGCAAAGGACTTGAACAGAAATTTTCTAAAGAAGACAGAAGAATGGCCAACAAACATATGAAAAAATGCTCATCATCTCTAATCATCAGGGAAATGCAAATCAAAACCACAATGAGATATCACTTAACTCCAGTGAGAATGGCCTTTATCAAAAAGTCTCCAAATAACAAATGCTGGCGTGGATGCGGAGAGAGAGGATCACTCCTACACTGCTGGTGGAAGTGCTAACTAGTTCAACCTCTGTGGAAAGCAATATGGAGATACCTTAAAGCGATACAAGTGAATCTACCATTTGATCCAGCAATCCACTGCTGGGCATCTACCCAAAAGATCCATGAAACTCTACAAAAAGACACCTGCACTTGAATGTTTATAGCAGCACAATTCATAATTGCAAGGCTGTGGAAACAGCCCAAGTGCCCATCAATCCAAGAATGGATTAATAAAATGTGGTATATGTATACCATGGAGTACTATTCAGCTCTAAGAAACACGGTGATATAGCACATCTTAATTTTCATGGTTAGAGCTGGAACCCATAACTAATGAAGTATCCCAAGAATAGAAAAACAAGCACCAGATATATTCACCAGGAAACTGGTATTAACTGAGTAGCACCTAAGTGGACACATAGGTACTACAGTAATAGGATATTGGGCAGGTGGGAGGGGGGAGTGGGGCTGGGATATATATACATAAGGAGTGAGATGTGCACCATCTGGGGGATGTTCATGCTGGAAACTCAGACTTGTGGGGGTGGGAAAGAGCATTTATTGAAACCTTAAAATCTGTACCCCCATAATATGCTGAAATAAAAAAAATAAATTAATTAAAAAAAAGTGGATAAAGGATCTAAATAGACATTTCTCAAAAGAAGACATACAAATGGCCAATAGGTAGATGAAAAAATGCTCAACATTGCTAATCATTAGAGAAATTCAAATCAAAACTATAATGGGAGGCTGGGCGCAGTGGTTCACGCCTGTAATCCTAGCACTCGGGGAGACCAAGGTGGAAGGATCGCTCAAGGTCAGGAGTTCGAAACCAGCCTGAACAAGAGCAAGACCCCTGTATTTACTAAAAATAGAAAGAAATTAATTGGCCAACTAAAAAAAATATATAGGAAAAAAAATTAGCCAGGCATAGTGGCGCATGCCTGTAGTCCCAGCTACTCAGGAGACTGAGGCAGGAGGATCACTTGAGCCCAGGAGTTTGAGGCTGCTGTGAGCTAAGCTGAAGCCACAGCACTCTAGCTGGGGCAACAGAGTGACACTCTCTCTCAAAACAAAAACAAACAAACAAACAAACACTACAGTGAGATATCATCTCATACCAGTTAAAATGACTTTTATCCAAAATACAGGCAGTAATAAATGCTAGAGAAAGGGGAACCCTCTTACACTGTTGGTGGAAATGTAAATTAGTACAGCCACTATGGAGAACAGTATGGAGCTTCTTCAAAAAACTAAAAATTGCACTGCTATATGATCCAGAAATTCCACTTTGGGGTATATATCCAAAGAAAGGAAATCAGTAAATCAAATAAATTTCTTCACTCCCATTTTTATTGTAGCACTATTCACAACAGCCAATATATGAATCAACCTAAGTGTCCATCAGTGAATGAATGGATTTTTTAAAATGTGGTACATATACACGATAGAATATTATTCATACATAAAAAAGAGTGAAATCCTGTCTTGTGCAATGACATGGATAAAACTCAAAAAAATTATGTTAAGTGAGATAAGCAAGGCACAGAAAGACAAATATCACATGTTCTCACCCATATGTGCGAGCTAAGAAAAAGATGATCTCATGAAGGTGGAGAGTAGAATGATGGTTACCAGAGGCTGGCAGGGTTAGCAGGGAGGGAGGATAAAGAGGGATGGTTAATGAGTGCAGAAATACAGTTAGATAGGAGGAATAAGACCTAGTATTCAGTAGCATAGTAAGGCAACTATGATTAAATATAATTTATTTTATATTTTAAAGTAAGTAAAATAGTAGAATTGGAATGTTCCTAACAGAAAAAAAAGACAGATATTTGAGGTGATGGATACATCACTTACCCTGATTTGATCATTACACATTGTATGCCTGTATCTTCAAGCATCACATGTACCCTGTAAATGTAAGCAACTATTATGTACTCATAACAATTAAAAATTAAAAAAATTTTTTAAACACTAACCAGCCAATTAGCAAAAAAGATTATCCTGATTTCTAGAACAGAATCGCGGAGGTGTATTGTGATTCCTAAGAGGCCATTATTCTTTGATAATGGTAATCATGCCAAAACATCTGGGGCATAATCCCCTCTATACAATTTAACTACATCAACAAGCTTATAACTTTATGTTACGACAGTCTCGGATGAGTCTATTAATCCTGAAAAATAATCAGTCTTTAAAATCTAAAATTTTATTTACTTTGTTCTCATCATCATTCCTTTGAATATTTACTATTAATTAATTTTGAATCTAGTTCAAATCTATTGTGTTAGGAGTTCTGTGACAAACATTCATTGTCTTATTCTAGAGTTAAATTTAATTCTATCAATCTTTCATTTTTATGCATTCCCATATTTTAAAACTTCAAAACTAAAATTAAAAGAACATTTTTGTCCCTAAATGAAGTTGAAATAATTTCAATCTTCATGTCAGAAGCTGTACCACAAAATTTCAGCCCAAAATAAGATAAATTTAGAAAACAGGAGGTTAATTTTGCACAGATTAATCAAAGAGTTTCTCACACTTCCTTTTGCATTAGAAGAGATTTGCCACATACTAAGATAAAATTCCCTGTGTCAGAACTTTAAGATATTGTCAAAAAAAATCAACTAGATTCTAGAATAATCTAGAATCCTAGAGCAGTAAAATTTCCTCCAGAGTTGATTATTCCTGGAAAACAAAGCTTTATTCTTACTGTTATTTTCATTTTCTTTAATAACTATATAGTCGATGAGTATTTTGCTTGATCTAAAATGTACCTTATTAACAATTTATCTCCACTAAAAATTTATCTCCACAACAAATATTGAATGTCATGGTTAATTTAAAACAAAAAAGAAGAAAGGACTTGGGGAAAAGATTGTGATCAAATAAAAAAGTATTCAATCACTTTTTTGTTTATTTAGCAGGGTTTTTTCTTAAACAAAAATCAGTCATGAGTTTACTGAGCTCATTTACATGTAATAATTCATTGCATGTATATTTGAGAACTACCAGAAGCATCATAAATCAGAACTCTTTTTCAATGAATTACTTCCTCTAGGAAAAGAGGATGTTAATAAAAAGCAGTCACATCTATAAAAATGCTAAGCAAATGCTAAAGGAAATGATAGACAGCATTTTCATAATTAACACTGCTACATCCTATAGTCTACCTCTCCTGAACAGTTTCATTTCTCTTTTCTAATTTTCTAATTCAAAGTAATAAAGCAAGTTAGTAAAAACTTGGAAGAGCAATACTCAGAACACAGACAACAAAATTTAAAGGCAAGTGGTAAAAGAAACATTCTTACATCAAAAAGGTTGATTTTTGCCAAAATGAGCCAAAAGGCCAACAATTGCATCCTTCTGCTCTAAGGTGTGGAGTTTACTGTGTGTGTTTTCATTTCTGAAGAACAAGAAAATAAAAAACATCAATTGTCACTTAAAGAATTTAGAGCCACCTAAAACCTTTTTCTTCTCCCTCAAATGCCTGCAGAACTTGGCTGAGAAGCCATTCTATCACTGTAAAAATAAATGAGAGGATTGTATATAATTCCATAGAAATCCAAGTTAGTGGTGTATGGAGAGGGATCTGTTTTCGTATCCCCAGATGATTGAATTAAGACATGAACTGCAGGGAATACTTTCAAAATAACTCTGTTCATTATAGATTCTTCTGGAGGAAGAATCCAAAGTGCTCCAAGTCCCAAGGGCTGCTCTGCTGCACTGCACAGCCTTTGGACTGACATCCATACTAGTCAACTTACAACAAGCCGTAGCTCAAATCCCACAACAGCTCTGCTGGCCAGAATAGTTTTATTGTGGAAAGGATCAAGAAAATGGATTGAAATAGGTTGATCTTTTATTAGAGCTACAGTAAAGTTGGATATTTAAAATCCATGAATTAAAATTGGCTTCTATCAGGAGTGCAATGAGGATTGTAGAAAACACAGTCATAAAATTAACATATGGTCTAGTTCCAAGTTCCAGTGCAGCACATGATAGGTGCACAAGAAATATACAATGATTAAGCTAAAAGGAAAAACATTTTGGCCAAAATTGTGCCTTCCATAAAGGAAATCAGTCACAGCTAAAATCATTTGATTTACTGTACAAGATGCATAGTTGCTTTGCAAAAGAAATTATATCTTTAATTTCTGCATCAAGATATAAGGAAAAAATATTTTGCCATAAAGAAAGAATTTGAAAGTAATGTGATATTACCTGATGGTCAAAAGTATTCTCTTTATCCTAGTAACTCAAAATTCATAGTTTGTGTTTTTAGCTGTAACCCTTACCGCACTGTATCCAATAAACAATTTCGTTCTACTGTGACTCTCATTTCCTGTACCATAATTCTATCTTCCTTCTTCCTCACTCCATGTAATAAAACAAATACATATTTGTCCTCACGGATTCAGAATAGCATGTAGGTGCAATTAGCTCTCTTCCATGATTCATGGATACTTGTTCCAAGAAACTGTTCCTATCAAAAATTAAATCCTTTTATTGAATTCATCTGTCACTTACCATAGACTGGAAGGTAACACATTCTTAAGCTGTCCAGCTCCAAGGGAATCTAACAATCTAAAATTGTTTCAAGTTTCTCAAGACTTGTTCACATTTTTATTCTTACATAGACAACATCTGGGTCATATGAGATTGGAAGAATTTGTGTGGAATTCCCTACATAGCTGTCTTAAGCAGCAAAGGGACTTGTTAACAGGAAAGGTAATCCAATTAGAATAATTGGCATTTGTAAGGCATGGTTATATCATGATGACTCAGTTTGACTTCCACTCTCTCTCACCTCCTATCGCAGAGGCAAGGAATCTGCAATAATACTGAATAACGACAAATCTCCAGGGAAGTCAAATGAATTGGGGTTTATATCTGAGAGTTTTTTTGTTTTGTTTTGTTTTTGGTACACATAAAAGCCAATTACTCTAGTTAACTGCTTTGAGGTGAACAGAGAGGATTTAGATGAAAAAAGGAAAAGAGAAGAATTAGGGTTTTTTTTTCCCCACTGGGCAACTTCTTTTTATCTCTAAAAACTTTTCTGAGTTTCATACCTTTTTAATGCTATTTTATCATAGTTTCCCCATCAATGGTTGTAAAAGAAAAAATTAGATCATGAAATTAGAGCAGCTCATACCCTGAGATGTAGCCAGCAGAGTATTTCAATCTATCCTGCATAGTCTGACTGAGTCAGACCTCGAACTTGGAAAAGTGAGTCTGTTTCTTCTCCCTCACTTAACAGAGAGGTGAACACACTGTCAACACTCAATTAATAAACAATGATACAAAGTCCTAAGGGGCAATCTGTGGTCCACTCCTGGACATCTTTCCCTTTGGCATGGCTCACCGTGCAATGATAGATCTGGCTGATGTTCCCACTGAAATGATGAAAAATGTCTGACACGTCACTCAAGTGGGGTGGGGGGGAGTAAACTCTTCTGTGTGAGGAACCACCAACTTACCAAGGAGGTTAAGCAGTGAGAAAAACAACTTCTTTTCACTGCTTGTCAGAGACAGTAAATTTGTATATAGTTTTTGATAAAACCTTGAGAGATGCGTTGAGAAGGATATATGTCCTCTTACATCCAAGTAGGTTTCTCCAAGGGGTCAGATGCTCCTTGGAAAGATTAGAGACTTCTTAAAGATCAAAATGACATTGCCTCATGTCCAGTCATGTACTAAACACCAATAGCATATATTATATTGTATAATTAAACTTTTGACAAAATTCAAGACTGAGTACAAAGTATTTTCAAACATATACTTGGACAGTATTTTCTCCTAAAAATACCTCTTGCTTTTGCTGTCATGCTACTCAATTAGATTTTTTTTTTAATTTCAGAATATTATAGTGGTACAAATGTTTTGGTTACATGAATTGCTTTTGTACAGTTTGAGTTAAAGTTGTTAATGTGCCCATCACCCAAATAGTGTGCATGGTACCCATTAGGTATGAATTTACCCACCACCTTCTCCCCACCCCCACCTGCTTGGTTTCCATGGAGTTTTACTTCCATATGTTCCCAGGAGTGTTGAATGATTAGTTCCAATTTAATAGTGAGTACATGTGGCATTTGTTTTTTCATTCTTGTAATAGTTCACTAAGAAGAATGGCCTCCAGTTCCATCCAGGTTGTTACAAAGGATATTAGATCACCATTATTTTTATGGCTGAGTAGTGCTCCATTGTATACATATATACAACATGTATTGATGGAGACTTGGGTTTAATCCACATCTTTCCAATTGTGAATTATGCTGCAGTAAACATGTAAAGCACAGGGCTCTGGAACTGAAATATACAAACTTATCTTTTGTTTCCCATAGTTTCACTTAAGAAGCAACAAAGCAGATTATTCTCACCAGAATAACATATGGTAAAAATAGGACCATTAAATTTCTAAAGTAAGTACTATTTTAGAGGTATCCTATCTGCCCTTTTCTAAGAACTATCTCTACAACTATAAGGTCATTTTGGTAGTGCCTCTTGTTGTGCTTTGGCTAAACATGAGTGCATCAAAGGTGGGCACCTGCCCTATTCAGATTTCCTCTTTCACTAATTGAAATTGGGGCGCACAGAATGCCAGCAAGTCAATTACCAGCAGCAGAGAACAGAGACAATGTCACTGCATGGCTGAAGCAGCCCCTTCCTGTCAGAAGAAGCAAGAGAGAAAGGGAGATAGAGAAACTGCTCAAAAAGAAGACACAAGACACTGTGTAACTGCTGAAAGAATCTAAAGGTGTGGTTGCCTTGTTTCCTGATGCCTTTCCAATTACTCTCATTTCTTGTCCTTTAATCTCTTGATTTTCTTATTATAGATTTCTCTTTTTATATAGACTAGTCTCAATGTCTAATGTAACCAGAAAGAATTTATTAATATTTTTAATTTACTAAGTAGATGTGATGAAAGGCACTCTACAGGGCATTGTGGGACAGTTGATGAATGAAAAAAAAATTCTGCTTTCAAGAAAAACATATTTTGAAGTAAAATGCAATACATTTAGTTGTAAGTGTCACAGTAAGAGGCACAAGAAGTGCCTGAGTCATAGATTAGTTAAGTATCAGCACGGGAGTCAGAAATGCTGCAATAGAATCCTGCTCTTTACCAGCTGTGTGCCTATTAACTTAACCATAAAGTATTAATAATAGCACATACCTTTTAGTAAGTACACAGTAAATGCTAGCTTGTATATTAGTAATTCCAGAAGAACATCCAGAGAAGTGATAACTGTGACTTGGATAAAAGTTTGTGGTTAGAACTCACTGAGGGTGACATTTGAGCTGAGGATTGAAAGATAAAATTAATTTCAAAAGTAAGAAAAGAGATTCTAGGCGGAGGAAATTGAAGAAACAAAGAGATAGAGATATGAAAATACATATAGCCACATTGGCTAGGATAGAGAGTTGTTGGAGATATAGAGGGCGATTAAGGTTGAAACTGGTAAAAGACTTTTAGTGCCAAGTGAGAGGAATTCAACATTATTCTAAAAGAAACAGTAGAATGTCAAAGACTAATATTTTAAAATTAGAAATAATCTTGTCTGTGTTTTAGGAAAATAAAAATATTAACATATGATGATATTGAGAACAGAATAAAGACAATGAGATCAGTTAGAATGCTTTTGCTGTGGCCCTGGAATTTCCTCCTAACTGCGATGTGATGGTTCTTACATCAAGAGGAATACAAAGTTGATTTCTGCATTTGAGGACCAGATGTTTAAAATACCTAGGCTTACCCAAAGGCCATTTTATTCATGAATTTCTACATCTAAAACATATGTTCCACTCTTTAACACCCAATTCAAGATACCCAGGGGGAAGAAACCATCCAAAAATGGGCTTTCTATATCCAGACCCTAATAATAGATAACAGTTCTGCCTAATGCCCCATATCCAGGATTTACCAGAAGTTCCTTAAACCACACCTGGCATATCAAAGACTGGTACTAGAAGGATATTTTATTTATTTATTATTTATCTCATGCTTTTTCTAAGGATGGTTTTTGAGGCACTGTACCCTGAAGAATAAATGAGTGCATCCCCAGTTCTCTTGAGAGAATCCAAGAACAACCATAAAGAAAAGCACCTCTAATCTACAAGCCCATCCTAGATTCCTGTACTCAGAATGTCATCCTCTGGGAAATTCATACAGGCTTACATTTTTGTTCTTTATAATGAGTAATGGCAAAAGAATAAAATAAAGGATTAGATTGAAGGAGATTGGAGCTCAGCTAAGCAAAAGTTGAAAGAGACTAAGATGGAGTCCTGTGCCCAAGAAAATAGTGGAGGAGGAAAATTGAATTGAGCCAGTGATTACAAAAGAAGAGTTTTGCAGAGAGGAACCAGATAAAAAACAGTCACAATAAAGAATATAAAACCCTAGAGGGAACATCAGAAAATAAATACAACAAAATCCCTGCAGGTTTTTTTGTAGAAACTCTGACAAACTGATTCTAAATTCTTATTCAAATGCATAGAACCTAGAGTAGGCAAAACAGTTTTAAAACAATTTCAAAAAAAAGTTGGAAGAGTTTTACTACCTGATTTCAAGATTTATCATTAAGCTACTATAATCAAAACTGTGTAATATGGGTATAAATATAGCTAAATATACTAATCAAACAGTTAATTAAGAATGAAGTTCATAATTTTACCCACACAAATGTGGTTGATTTATTTTTGGCAAAGGTACAAAGGCAATTCAGTAGAGAAAATAAAATATTTTTAATAAATGGTGCTGGAATAATTGAATATTCATATCCAAAAAAAAATGAATCTTTAAAATTTTACTAAAAATGAATCACAAACCTCATTATAAAACCTAAACCATAAAATTTCTAGAAGAAAACATAAAAGAAAATCTTCTGACCTTTAGTTAGCAAAGATTTTTTAAATACAACTCCAAAATCATGATCCATAAATGTAAACTTGATAAATTGTATTTTTGCAAAATGAAGAACTGCTCTTTGAAAAGAAGTTGTAAAGGAAATGAAAAGACATGCAACAGACTACAAGAAAATATTTGCAAATCATGTATCATATAAAGGACTTGTATACAGACTATGTGAAGAATTCTCAAAAGTCAATAATAATAAAACAATTTTAACAATTGTCAAAAGATTTGACCATTGACCAGGCATTTCAACAAAGAAAATATATGTATGACAAATAGCACATGAAAAGATATCCAACTCTATTAGTAATAGCAAATTAAAACCGTAATAAGATAACACTACACACTTTTTTGAATGTCTAAAATTTAAAAGACTGACCATACCAAGGACTGACAAGGAAGTAGAGGATCTGGAACCTCTCACTGCTTCTGGGGATGTAAAATGGTACAGTCACTTTGGAAAACAGTTTGACAGTTTCTTAAACTATTAAATATATACCTACTACATGACCCAGCAATCCACTGCTAGGTATCTACCTAAGAAAAATGGAAGTATATCTCCATACAAAGATTTGTACATAAATGTTTATAGCAGCATAATTTGTAATGGTAAAAACTCAATAGCATAAATATCCATCAGCAGATGTAGGGTTAAACAAATTATGGTATACCTATGCAATTGAATACCATTCAGCAATAAAAATAAATTACTGATATATATATCATGAATGCATCTTAAAATAGTTATGCAAAATAGCCATAAAATAATAGGATAGATTATAATTTAATCTAATTTCTTATAATTTCATTAGTAGAAAACTCTAGAAAATCAAACTACAATCATGACTTGGTATCCATGGGGGGGATTGGTTCCAGAATCCCTTGTGGATACCAAAATCCTTGGATGCTCAAGTCCTTTATATAAAATTCCATAATATTTACATATAACTTATGCACATCTTCCTGAATACCTTAAATCATCTCTAGATTACTTACAATACCTAACACAATGTAAATGCTATGTAAATAGTTATTATACTATATTTTTATTTGCATTATTTTTATTGTATTATTTATTTTTCTTTTTTTTCTTATAATTTTGGTTTTATATCTAAGGAACTATTAATAAACCCAAGATTATAAAATTATTTTTATGTTTTCTACTAAGTACTTTATAGTTTTAGTGCTTACATTTAGGTCTATAATATATTTTGAGTTATTTGTATGTATGATGTAGGGTGGGGTCCACATTCATTCTTTGGTTATTCAGATGTCAAGGCATCATTTGTTAAAAATATAATTCTTTCTCCATTAAATTTCTTGGCATCTTGTTGAAAATCAATTGAAAATGTAAGGAATTCTGGAATCTCATTGTATTGCATTTATCTACATGTTTATTATATTTGTTTCCTACTGCTGCTCTAACAAATCACTACAAACTTAGTGACTTAAAACAATAATTCTGGATGTCAGAAGTCTGGAATGGACTCATGGGACCAAAACCAACTAGTTTGCCAGCTGGTTCCTTCTGGAGGCTCTAGGAGAGCCTTGCCTTTTCTAGCTTCTGAAGATTGCATGCATTCCTTGACATGTGCCCCTTTCCATTTTTCAAATTAGCAATTGTGTTACTCTGACCCTTGCTTCCACCATCACATCTCTTCTGACTCTCACTTTTCCACCTTTCTTATTCACATATAAGGGCCCTTGTGATTACATTGAGCCCATCTGAATAATATAGGATAATCACCCTGTCTCAAGATCCTT